CGACGGTAGTCTAGAGGGTTGACTTGAAGTTAGTTTACCATCAAATTTAGATGCGACCGAAGGATATGCACAAGATAACATTTTTAGATGTGAGGTTCGCTATAAGTATTAAATTAAATTGAGTGGATTGTCAGATGATGATGTCTCGTGGAAGCCATTCGACTTGATCCAACCTCAGTTTTTTTTACCCAAAGGACAATATGACTTTTTGAGAGGGGAATAATATTATGACGATGCTTAAGTGTAATTTAATCATTTGTCATTTATTATTGTTTATTATAAATAGTGCTAATAGTTAAAGGGTTAGGGGGTGCATAAGACTATTTTCTTGAGTTTTAAGTTTAGGGTTTGTGAGAGATTTCTTACCTCTCAAATTGTAGGATTTGAGAAAGTTGTCTATCTCTTGAATTATAGGTGTTTATCTTATCTATTCATATTGAGCTGTTTGATGTTCTTGCAATTAAATATTTATGCTTTAATTTCTATGAAAAATTATCTTGATTTCTATCACACTCATTATTTGGTGAATCTAGCTAATGGATGACATGCTCGTCAGCTAAGTGATTACTGATTTGTGGAGTTGTGGGGATTTGGTGAGTGAAACAATGACAACTATGGCACAAGTCATTGTAGGAGGCAAGGGTGACAAGCTTTTGACTTGATAATAGAATATAACAAAAAGAGAGAGAGAGAGAGAGAGAGAGAGAGATTAATGCCATTATATAGATTTATATTAAATTTTTATATAATTTTCAAATAAGAGAATATTTGATCCTTCGATGCATGTCAAATGGAGCCCGATTAGGACGCGAATATGCTCGTTTGAACCGTCTCGATGATCCAGACACACTCAGGCAGTCGGTTTTGTAAGATGTTCCCCTGATAAAAAAAAAAGAGAGTAAAAAGTTTATGCAAAATGGACTTTATGCACACAAAATTATGTAGAAGGTGATTGACGCTCGATTAAGACGCAAATGTGCTTGTTTGAGCCTTCTTAATGATCCAGACACACTTGCACAATCTATTTCGTAAAATGTTTCCCTGATAAAAAAAAATTATTTTAAGCAAAAAATTTATGCAAAATGGACCTTATCCACACGAAACTATGTAAAAGGTGATTGACGAATATAGGGGTCAACACACAAATAAAGTTTTTTTTTTGGAAAATTGCATTAATTTCTTGGATCCCTGGCAATTCCAAACTAGTAGCAATGCTTTCCATTTAATGTTTGAGCTGCACTTCTTAATTTATTTCGTTTATTTCTTCTGTGATTACTTGTCAAGCTAGTTAATATACATTAAATGGCTAGGGAACATCTCTTTCTTTCTAGGTCTATTTGTTAGAGGAGGATAACTTCCTTTCTCTTTTTTTACTGGAGAAAGACGATGAAATAGAAGTAAATGAATTCCTATATTTCTTTTATTAATTAGTTTTCAAAATTAATATTTCTGTCCACCATTAATTGCATGAAGGCATGCCGTCATATCAGGCTTTAGTTAGATCAGAGGAATCAGTTAACTTATTGTTGATTGGGCAGGTCAATTTCACCAGAAGTCACTAGGTTCACAAGTCATATTAGATCTAGTGCAATAATACTGTTATATGTTCTTATCTTCAAGGAGCATCTTCAAGGAGCATGAATCCTCGAAGAAGAAATCTTATTAGCGGTCGTTAAAGAGTTGTGGGATTTTGCAAACTTGCAATTCCACATTTCTTTGGGAACGTCCTGCAAGTGTTAAGTGCTCTCTTAAGGCTTAGGTCCTTGAGGAAATCCTTCAAGCAGTTGCGTTCGCCTCAAGTTCTGCGCCACACCCTCATTTGCGTCATAACTGCTTTCTTGGAGACATGCCTCTCAAATTCGCTTATGCACAATTTTATCATTCAAAATTTACACTCACAACTTTGCTTGCATTGAGACCATTACAAACTTTGAACCTGCAATGCAATCTTACCCCACTTGAACTTGAATCATCTTCCAGCCTTCATATTCTACTCTACAACCCCACTTGAACTTGAATCATCTTCTGCAAGGCTCATGCCACAACTTGATACCGGAGTTAGCCCAAATCACAACCGAACGATGAAGTTTATTGTTGAATTCAAAAGGACAAAGACAAATCCTCAACACAAAACAACACAAACATGTGAACAACTCATTACGACAATGACACTGCAAAACAAGAAAATAAACAACACAATACATAAAAATGGCTCTAGAGGAGAGCGGCAGGCGTTTGTGCTGGAAGGTGGTTGACAACCCAGGGTTGCGGCGCCAGATGATGGAGTGAGGGTGGCCAGCTGGGTGGAGGCTGGTTGCAAGTGGCAGTGGTGTAAAAGGAAATAGAGGAGGTGGCGATGGATTGGACAACGACGGGTCGGTGCCGGCTGCTGGACAATAGCAGGTATTGGTGTTCAGGGGGCTAAGTGGCCCGGAAGGCCAGTGCGACTGTTTTAAGGCAGCTGGAAGCAAGGACAACAATAGGAAGTAAGGCTGGAAGGCCCATGTGATGGCTGGGAGGCAGCTGGATTGCTGGACGACAGCAAGAAGAGGGGCTGGAAGTCTGTACGGTGGCTGGGAGAGCAGCGGCCAGAATTGGGAAAAGATAAATATCTTCATGAGATCGAGTTACAGCCGGAGCACCCCTCAATCCTTTGGAGAAGATCGTCATCTCGGGTGAGTTACAGTCGGAGCACCTTCTTGCCTTCGGATACAGGAGCACCTCCTCACCTTCAGATACAACCTTAGAAGGGAAAACAACCCCGATGGCTGGCTTGGACAGAAATCTGAAAATCTGAAAGACAAAAATTGACCCTAACTAAAGCAAACACCACCTATATATAACGAGGAATAGTAGATAGAATTTGTAGGGAATAGAAATAGAAAGATGATGGAAAAGGGAGGTGGACAAGGAAAGTGTTAGAAAAGGAAGGGCTAGACAAGACAAGAACAAGGAATCAAATAGGAAAATGGGTAGTAGGGCTGGACCGGGTACTGTAGCAATTATAGTACCGCAGCATGGTAAGCATTCCCGTCACAACGTTGTATGTGTTACAATAATCTTCTTTTTATGGCATTAGTCATATTGAATTTTGGATAAGGTCTACTCCACAATTGTTTCCAAAAAGACTTGTGACACTACTGTATTTAGGAGACATGAACCAGAATCTTCTTCAGCCTTCAGGTATCGTACTAAGGCCACGTTCACCAGGCCCTCCACCCACTATATTTGACTATATCTCGCAATTAACCTTGTGTGGGATTGAAGCCTTGGAATTTACCTTCTCTAATATGTTCTCATTTGCTGTAGGTCGCTGCAGCAACCCGCAACAGTATTTCGATTGCTGTTTTCTGCAGTTCTAGCCACTGTCATTGCCTTCTCCTCTCTTCTTTTCGCCACTGTTCTCTCCCGCCCGTGATGTTTTGACCGCTGTCCAGCCATATGTATCGCTGCCTCCATCTGGTCGCCGTCCACGCGATGCTACTCTCCGAAACCCTACTGCTATGATACTTCTTCCCAATGCCCTGGGACAGCCACGCACTGCTGTTCCTGCCTTCCCAGCCGCTCCTCCCTTTTCCCTTAGCTTCCCAGCAGCCTTTTACACCACCTGTCCCTTCCAGACCCTCCACGACTACCTCCACTCCCCTTGGGATACAATCGTAGTTGCATTTGTGTCATATATGTTGCTATTTTAGACTTCCGAGTGTCTTGTTATTGTATTTTTCCCGGTCTATTTATGTTCAGTAATAATATTTGTTTTTTCTATTGTGGGTTTGGTTAACTCCGCTATCAGTCCAGTAAAAGCATCCATAACTAAAACAAAAAGATTTGGGCTTAAAGCCGACCCCCGATATAATCCAACTGAAATTGTAAAATACTTGGTCAATCCCTCTTCTGTTTGAAACAAGTAACAGCTCTAGTATGCACATCTTTAAGGGCTTGAATATAAGTCATATCAACACCTTTCTCCAAAGAACTTCTCTTGAAATGTTATCATAAACTTTTTTTAAATCAACAAAGATCATAAACCATCTAACCTCTCAATAAATGTATAGCTTCATAATAGACTGCAGATATAATCCTACAGGCGCAGTCTCTGCCACTAGGACTCAAACTGATACGTCACTTCTTCTGTAGTACATTTTTTTAATCTTCGAAGCGCAAAAAAGTTTTCTTCTCTGCCTTCACTTTCCAAAATTTCTGTGGCTTAACTACACAACTAGTTTTCACGTCATTTGAGTCTCATAACAGTCCTTTTTTTTAAACAATCTTACTAGGTGCTATTGCTTGGATGTAAAATGGGCATGTTGTATTTGGAATTCATGTGATTTTCAGAATTTTGGCTTTTTTTTTGAAGAATGTGGAATGCAAAGTAAAATTTCTCTAAATTTAAATTTCGCTCTATAATTTTTTTTTGTTGCATTCCAAATTCATTAGATTCGACTGATTTTCAAGTACACTACAAAAAATGCCATCGTAGTTACTGAGCACCACCACCCGTGGGTGCTGTCAGTTGCCGCTTTCTACCGTCCTGTCCCTGCCCGGCTCTGGCTTCCGGCTTCCGGTCTCTCTCCTCTGGATTTTACATCAATTTTATTTTATTTTTGACTAAACCTAAAACAATGAACTCCTACACTTGCTCTACACCTGACCAAATAACTCCAATATATTTCAAATATACTTGCACTTCAATTACATCACATCTAGTCTTCAGCAGCTGCTTCCAAGTGATCCCATGCTTTTGATTGTTTATAAGCATATATATGGTTCACCTAATCTGAAAGCTGAATGATGCCATTTCCACTCCGGTGTTCAACCACTGCATATCCCATACAAAAAATACTTCCATTTTAACTTACACCTTTGCATGCATATGGGTAAGGTGGCCAAAATATTGATGTTTATGCGTCAAATGTGTAAATACATTGGAATTGAGTGGTATGTATGTAAATCTTCCATTTATAATATATCAGAGATCTTTGTTTTTTTTTTTTTTGTAGATAAGGAATTGGATATAATTGAGATGGCTGTTTATGGGGATGTAATCCGTCCAGGACATGAGTGTCGCTGCCGCACTGTTGCAGAAATGCTGGGCAAAGTCAAGCCCAAAAAGCCTTTGGCTGCTTGCAAGCTGCCATATGAAGAAGGTTCTTAATTCTTCCCCTTTTAATCTCTCATCTCATTTTTGTACTGAATTATTTTGACTTTAGCTTTTAATTAATTCTTTAGTAAATTATTTATATATGTAGTTCAAATTTATGTATGTTTTGCTTATTTTAATAAATATTACAAGTAATTTCATAATATTAATGTTGTATTTGAAGTTTTCATAATCAAAATTTATAAAAAACAAATTTCAGATGTTAGATATGTAAATATATTAGAATTGGGTGGTATGTATGTAAATGTCCCCATAAAATTATTAGGTGCAGTCAACTTGTCAGTAATTGAGCTTGACTGGCGAAATGATTTGACATAAACTATCTTAAAAGCAGCATGATCGCATGCCTCTCTTTTGACTTGCAATGGAATCCGAACTTTCATTTTGCCCATTTATCTTCTATTTATTATTATATATATATATATATATATATATATATATATAATTGATTAGTTAATTTCGAGCCAAATTGAGCCGAACACGAACGAATAGTGAATGAGCCGAACACGAGCTGTTTGCGAACAACGAGCCGTTTTGACAACCCTACTTGTGCTCATCGCCGCTCATTTTCCTATCAATTAACCATCTATTATTCCTATAAATTTTGCTTAATTTTTCTTAGGGGCATTTACAAACATACCATGCAATTCTATGTATTTATACACAACACCTAAACTTCTATTTTTATATTTTTTATAATACCCAAATATTCCATATTGCATAACATATATCACTATTGCTAACTTTTTTAAAAAATTAAAATGCATCTTTTTAAGTTGGGTAAGATGGTATAAGTGTAAAAAACGAAATTAAGTTGTTCAATTTCTAAATTCATAGGAATTATATGGCCTGTTTGTAAATCATGGTATCATTAAGTGTCCCGCCATTCCCTCTCCTCAACCATCCCCTTATAAATAAAACCAAAAAAAAAAAAAAAAATCATCTTTTTCGTTTTCAAATCATAACGGCTATATTTTCTAGGTAAAATTTTAAAAATAGTATATATATTTTTTAATTTATCATTTTAAATAAATGTTAAAACATAAATATTTTAAATAGACAAAATAATCACGTTAGCAGACGATCTTGCCATGTTAGCATGTGAAACCGCCTGCTAACATGTCAATTTTTATTTACCAAATCAGCGAAAGAAATCACCTGTCGAGATAGCAATTTTATTACTAAAAAAATTATTGAGATATATAAATGTTATTAATATCATATCATAGAACTTTAACACTAAGTTCATTTAACTTAGTTGATAGAGTGTAAGGCTCTCAACTTTGAAGTTGTGGGTTCAAATATTATGGTGTCATTTTTTTTTAGGGATATTGGTTGATTAGTTATTCGTTTAAATTATTTAATTTATTAAATAAATATTATAATCTTAATTTAAAAAAAATTGATAAAAATTAAAAAATTAATATTATAATATAAAATAAAATAACTATAATTATGTGAAATTTTTATTTAAATTTACATCGAAATGATCTAAATGGCGAAAAGTAAGCTAATCATTCATAAAAATTTGTAGCAAATACTAATTTTAATTTTTTTAAATTTACACTGTATCGGGACACGAGCTCTCTTAGGCTCGCTGTCCAGGCTGCTCGTTTTGCCAGGAGTCAGATGAAAAGATTGTTGGGGCAATTTTTTCCATACGTGAAAGGGTCTAGTTTTTCAAGAAAAGCTCTTGACCCGGTTCTTTGAAACTTTACACTAGGTCATGGAGCACCTTATTTATGTTTCTTACCTGTGACATCCTCGAAGGCCTAATTGCCGATGAACTGCTGCTCGTTTGGGATACGACGATTTGTCATCTACCCTTATGACCCGGATGTGCATTGACGTATTGAGATTCTCTGTTAGGATGATTTAATTGTTTCGCAGGCTCGGTATGTCGAAGAGCCTATTACCCATGCAGGACCGTGAGAGACTCATTTATCACCCCGTGACTTCACGAGAGTTTTCAAAGTATCAAAGCATTCTCCTGTGAAACAACTGCCCTTGGATACTTTGTGTTAGTCGTCACCACTAATGTAAGCAAAATTTCTTTGGATCAAGAGTATTCTTGGGGAATTCCCAAGATGTAATTAGCCAAGTAGGATATGTCCTATTGGGAGAACTCTAGACCCTAGAACAGGCAAACACACATGAATTTTTAATTATGGGTAGTCAACATAGGTATTCTTTCACGAATATTGATCAAATGTGCTTCTACCCGATCTTATTTGGGCGGATATACTTGACCTATCATTCGAGGTTTATTGCACATGGACTCTTCATATTCTTTCTCTTGTTTGTAGTCTTTATCGTATGCCCATTTTTTTTATTCATCTTTTCTTCTGATCATTCACATGATCCAGAAGAGAAACTGATTCAAAAAAAAAAAAAGAAGTATACGAAGATGAACAAACTGACAACTTCTTTAAAAATAAAAAGAAAAATGAATGAAAACATAAAAGTTTCTGAATATTATGATCTCTTTCTTTGCCTTGGCAATGTATTTTACCATCAATTCCTCCATAGCATTGAATTTTTTATTCACCGGTTTCACGACCAGCAAGGAGTTTGATTTCACCAGTATCTCCCGGGTTATTTCATAGGCTAGGCGAGGCCGAACAATCAACATCTCAAGCTCTGCCTAGTTTTTAGCGACTTCCAACTCTGCTGAGATCGACTGATATTGGCGATCATCTACTTGGATGCCCCGTCGACGTATAAGACCCATGTCTTATTGCCAGGAAAATTTTCATTTGGTTTTTCTGCTGTGAAGATATCCACCGAGAAACTACCAATCGTGTGAGTCTTGATGGTCATTCGGGGGACGTAACTGATGTCGTATTCGCTGAGTTCTACTGTTCAGCAGCCGTCTTAAGTCTTCTGGTTGTGTGAGCACAAACTTCATAGGGCGGTCCGTGATGACTCAGATCAAATGCATTTGGAAATATGGTCATAGCCTGGGCACGAAAATAATTAAGGCAAATGTTAGCTTCTCCATAATAGAGTACCTGGTTTCGAGGCCATGGAGTACTCAACTCGTGTAGTAGACTTGGAAGTGTTTCCCCTCCTCTCTCTGACCAAACCAGCTAACAATTTCTTGTCTAACTCCAAAGGTACATCGATAGTTCTTCCGTTGGCTTTGGATTTGTGAGCAACACGGGCGACAAATAGTAATCCTTCAGACCTTTGAACGTTTCTTCTCACTCGACCATCCACTCGAAACATTGGTTTTTTTTTAAGTGCCTTGAAGAATATTGTGCACTTGTCACCCGAATTCAGAATAAAACGATTGACTCCCATAATTCAGAAGGTCAGTCTTTGTATTTCTCTTGTGCTTTGAGGAGACAACAAATCTAGGATTCTCCGAGAGAAAGCATTACCCATCATTGCTCTGGTGGGGGCTCCCACTCGGAGCTCCCGTTGTTTGGTGATTGGTGTGGATCTTGCACTGTCAGTGCGCGAGGAGTCTTTTTGTCATTCAATTGGTAAGTCACCCGCATGTCCTTTGGGCACCGTCAGGTTTGGGGAGGGGGGCTATCTTGGGGCGAGCTCCCTGAGATTCTCCCTCAAAGGGTGGCTGTTGGAATTCTTCTCGGTTAAGGCCGCTTGGAGGGCCTCGAATCGGTCCATGATATGTGTTCGCAACGCCTGTATCTCTTCTTATATATCCTAATGCGCCGTTTTTCTATTGAATTTCATATGTGCTGAGTCTCTTCGCAAGGATTCTCTTTCATAGTTGGCTCCGTTTCTTGTCTGTGGCATGTCCACGCTCACTACACCACCTTTCAGGATGTTGAATCCCAAATTCTCCCTTGTGAAAATATGCCTTGAGAGTTAGAGCCGAGAAAATTAGGATGAGAAAAATCAATCGAGAGAGTCCTTGTCGATAATTGAGGAGCCTTCCCTTTATTCGTCTCTTTGCCCTCTATTTATATGGGCTTATTTGTACAGTTATAGAAAGGAAGGAACATTTTACTACAAAATCTGTATTAAAATTTGAATTCAAATATGACGGTAAGCGATTGGTCAACGTGCAGGAGTTTGGCCTGAAGGCCGAGACATCTGACTGAGTGACAATCGGGCTTGTCAAAGTAAAAAAGTCGGTCGGTCGGTGGTTTGTGGTTCGACGCCCCAGGTGAGAAGTCAAGACGATCCAGGACTATATGTGTGGTTTGTTGACTGTCCCTTGTCATAGTGTGTTGGTCGACTCCGACCAAACTATCAGTATTTGGAGGATCGGCTGGGATCATATTCTTGTAGCATGATGTCTCAGTTGTCCGGCCATCGTCCTGAACCACTTGATTACTTTGAGATTCGTACCAACGGTTTTGGTGCATACAATTGGAGTTAACTAAAAATGGTGAGGTTTTTTTTTTAAATTTTTATTTTAAATAATTCAAATATGAATCCAATATTTTATTATGGATACCTTTTTTATAACGCTATATTTTTAATTTCTTGCAACAAAAAATGCGGATTTATCAGTAAAAAAAGTCGATTAAAAATAAATACCAATTCTTTTTATAAATTCAATTTTTTATTTATTATACAAATGACAATCGATTTTCAACCATCTCATCACTTAGTTATTAATTTTCTTAAAATTAAGGGTATAACTGCAAATTGACTCGTGAATGTAGCCATTTGATTTCATACAATCATGATATTGTTTAGTAGAGGATTATTATGAGTGCTAAATATTTTATGTATTAATTTATTGGTGCGGAACAATAATTGACATCCTTCTTATAATTATTTCAAGTAATTAAGCACATGATAGTCTTTTTTTTTTCTTTTTTTTTTATTTTTATTGAACCATTTACATTCATACCACCCAAATTCCTGTGTATTTACATATCGAACACCTAAACTTTATTTTCTACATTAATACCATCAAATCATTCTTATCACAAAAAATATGCCCCAAAGGTTTGGTGGCGTGTCTGTATTTTACAAATTAAAATCTAAACTTTAATTATTTACATATTTACCACCTTTCCTATACATGAAAAGTGAAAATAGTGGTGTTTTTGATGTGATATGAAGATTTACATGATATAAATCTACAAGGTATAAGTTCAGGTGTTAGATGTGTAAATACATAAGAATTGGGTGGCATGTATGTAACTGTCCCAAAAATTTGATTTTATAGGACTAATTATATGATATTTGAAGAAGGGGGGAATTTGCATATATATCATTCAAATCTTATGAATTTACATATGTACCACATATATTCTCATATTTAAAGGCACACCACTCAAATCTTCAACATCACATCAAAATATAATCATCATTATATTTCTATGAATGAAATACAAATTTTCATGTATAAGTTTATGGCATATAGGAGTTAAAAATGTAAATATTAAATTTGGATGATAGATATGTAAATACATAACTTGATCAAGGTAAATCTCAAAATTATTTTGAGATGAACATAATATAAGTTTTAATTGATTAATAATGCACACTGAATTCATTTATGATTTTATAAAATAATATTAATAACATATATTTATTCTTAATAATTTTTTAAATAATAAAATTGTTATTTTATTTTTTTAATATTTATTTAAAATACTAAATTTATAAAAAATATCATTTTTAGAATATTGCCTATTCCTTTCCCAGCTGTTAATAATCCTCTTTTCGCTGAAGCAGCAAATCGAAGGAGAGATTCCACCAGGGCTCTTCCCGCGAGAACCTCGCACACCCAAAAGCTTCCGCTCCGTCCGTCTCCCGTTAATTTCGCGATGATTTTCAGATATAAAAACCTCACCTTTCGTCGCATTTTCTCCTTTCGGGATGTCTCCCCGGGTTCCACCGCGGCTCTGTTAGCCTTCTCCGCCTTTTTCCCATATTGTTTCCACGCAAATCCCCATTTTGCTTGTTAATCCTCCGGCGCCGGAGTTCTTCGCCCGGTGATCCGGCGGCGATGGGTTGCTCCTCGTCGAAGAATGTCGTATCGGTGACACCGGTGCTCGACTCGTCTGGCATTCTCAGGGATAGCCGAGGGTCGGAAGCGGTTTCTGAGAAATCGTTGAGGGGGAAGTCGAGGGAGAATGAGGAGGTAGAGAAGGAGAAGATCAAGGAGACGAAAGAAACGGTGAAAGTTGTCGTGGAAAGCCCTAAATTGGTTACTGCTAGATTGGGGAACTTTCACAAGGACACTGAAGGGGAACAAGTCGCCGCCGGTTGGCCGCGGTGGCTCACCGCCGTGGCTGCTAAGGCTATTCATGGTTGGGTGCCCCTCAAAGCTGAAAACTTTGAGAAATGGGATAAGGTAATAATGAAGAGCAACAAAGATCAATTTTTGGCTTGTTATGTGCTTGTCTTTGCGTCAAATTTAAATGATTTTTCCTTCACAAGTTGGTTTTATTGAATGGATTTTGTGCTCTGAATGAATTTGAAGATAGGGCAAGGAACTTATAGCACTGTGTTTAGAGCAAAAAATCTTGAAACTGGGAAGATTGTTGCGCTGAAGAAGGTGAAGTTTGACAATTTTGATACAGAAAGTGTCAAGTTCATGGTTCGAGAAATCGAGATTCTTCGTAGGCTCGACCATCCTAATATTATGAAATTGGAGGGTTTGATCACCTCGCGCTTATCTTGTAGCTTATATCTAGTTTTTGAATATATGGAACATGATCTTTCTGGATTGTCATCATCACCAGATGTAGAATTCACTGAACGACAGGTTTGTAGTGACCTTGAAATATCAAAGTTGGTTTTTTTTTTTGGGTGAAGATTTTTATAAACATACCCAATTCCTATGTATTTACATATCTAACACTCAAATTTCTATTTTTACACACAGACCACCTTACTTATGCATGAAAAATGTAAGTTTGTGTTAGATATGTAAATCCATAGGAATTAGGTATATCTAATTACCCCCACATTTTTTTGAGAAACTGATAGCTGATCTAATAGAAACTTTACATGAAAATGGTAATTTGTGGATGCAGGTAAAGTGTTACATGAAACAATTGCTATCTGGCCTTGAACATTGTCATTCAAGAGGAATCATCCATCGTGATATTAAGGGTGCAAATCTTTTAGTGAACAATGAAGGAATCTTAAAAATTGCAGATTTTGGTTTGGCGAATTTCGCACCGCCTGAAAATAAGGATCCACTAACTAGTCGTGTTGTTACGCTTTGGTATCGGCCCCCCGAGCTTCTCTTGGGCTCAATCGATTATGGAGCATACGTAGACATGTGGAGTGTTGGTTGTGTATTTGCTGAGATGTTTCTCAAGAAACCCATTTTGCAAGGAAGGACCGAAGTAGTTAGCTCACCCATTAATCTATCTTTTGGGGCATTTACATACACTCACTTCTTATGTATTTACAAATCTAACAACTAAACTTTACTTATTACATTTAAACCATCCAAATCTTTCATATCACATTAAAAATATCACTATCTTAACTTTTAAAAAGTGAAATACACGTTTTAAGGCATACGTAATGTGGCATATATAAATAAAAATTGATTTAGGTTTTGGATATGCAATGTAAGTACATAAGAATGTATGTAAATCTTCCTAATCAAGGGTTAGCTATTTACATACACACCACTCAATTCTTAAGTATTTACATATCTAACTGCTAAACTTTGCTTTTTAACGTTGTTACCATGCAAATCTTTCATATCACATAAAAAATACCACTATTTTATGTTTCAAAAATCGAAATACTCATTTTCATGCATAGATAACATGGCATATATATAAAAATTGAATTTTAGGTGTAGGATATGCAAATACATATAAATTGAGTGGAATGTATTATTTCTCTTTAGAGTTTGCTTTAAGATTATTTAGTCTCAACATAACTCTACTTCTCCTCCTATTTGCTTTCAATGTAACAGTAACTTTGTTCCTAGGTTGAGCAACTCCACAAAATCTTTAAATTATGCGGTTCCCCATCGGACGAATATTGGAAGAATTCAAAGTTACCTCATGAAATAATTTTTAAGCCTCATCGCCCTTATGAGGGTCACCTCCATGAGACTTTCAGAAACTTGCCACATTCTGTCTACAAATTATTAGAAGTACTTCTATCCATAGATCCTCAACGGCGCGGGACTGCAGAATCTGCTCTATCTTCTGAGGTATGGCTTCAGTTTTGGCCTTTCTTCCATGTATAATTTCTACTGTAAATTTTCTTTTGTGCTCCTTGTTGGATTTACTGCTTTATGCTTTGATTTCAATGCTTGGATTTTGATTTTTGACATTTTTACAGTATTTCTCAACACCGCCTCTTTCGTGTGAACCATCAAGTTTGCCAAAATACCCACCTACTAAAGAGATCGACATGAAAAGCGATGAAGATATTAACAGGTTTGGTTTGAGTATTTGATTCACATGTATGATCTGACTTCTGAGTTGGCTTAGGCTCGACTTGATAAATGGCTTGTGAACCGAGCTCAATGAGCTAGCTAACAAGACAAGTTTGAGCTAGCCTCAATTGGATTCGTTAGCTCTTGAACTAGTTCATTTAAAAAAGAATAGGCATAAAATGTACTTAAAATAGGATAAAATTCAAGGGTTTAAATAAAAAATATAAAAAGTATTTAATATATAATTGTTCATTCTTTTTTATATTTTTTTAATCCCAATATTTGGTTGCATCCAAATCAGTTTTATCTATTTAATAATAAATAAGTCTGCTTGTGAGTTGACCCAAACTTGTAGTTAATCAAGGTCAAACTCAAATTAGAGGTGGCTTGAGCTCCGCTCTACTTATTTACACACATCTAGTAATCCATATGATTTACTTAGCAAATATAATAAAAAAAATGACATCATTTAAGCTTTCATGTTATTCTTTTAATGTTTGTTTTAAGTCAAACCTAATATGTTTTAATGGAGTATATTCCAATATCAAATATTAGAAGAAAAAAATCACTATATAATTTATTATATTAGATTGAATTCAACCTAGTTACCTTAGTAAAACAAACAATCCCAAACTTTGATAAAAAAAAGACTAAACAAAGTAGTTGTCTGTAATGGAATAAATCTTTTGTCAAGCTTTCAAGTTAAACACTTCTATAAATCCATCCCATTCAATTATTATTGTTTGAAAAAATTTCACATTTTACAATATCACCTTCAGGAAGATTCCAAAGGGAAATGCCAAAGTAAGAGTCACAGAAGCGACGAGAAAGCCGACAAAGGTTCATAGAGATCCACAAGAACCAATTGCCTTGCGTAGACCATCAAACCGCCAAGAGGTATAATATAAATTCACTCTTATATTTTAGAGTTACTAATATTTGCTCATTCAAACAAAGTTTAATTATTGTAACTAACAGCCGGAGCCTCAAAAAAAGAACAGTGGAACCGATAACAGCAGGGATAAGTTAACCGGCCCCAGAGTTAACAGCAACTCCAGACTGATTGTAGATCTTCAGCCAATGGCGGCGCTTAATCCTTCCGATCGAGGTCGACACACAAGGCATGCTTCTCAAGGCAGCGGCGTTCCTTTCTCAGGTCCTCTGCGCGCTAATAATCATTCTAATGGCTCCAAGGGGGATAGAAAACTGCATGAAAATCGTTCATTCGTTAAATCTCATAGTAAGTATACGTCGAGGAACAATAGTCATCCCCCGCCGGAGCCGGCCGCTGCCACCATCAGAAACAGAGTTAGTTCTAGATTTGATGTTCAAGGTAATGCACGTCCTTCGCATGATCGGCTCGATCATGACCGGCAAAATGAGCAGTATAAGTTGGCAAAGAAAGCGATGTTGAAAAGCTTGACTCAGCTGGAACACCCAGACTCATTTGATTCTTCCAAATTCCATTCACATGATTTCTCAAGAAAGGGCACGATGCAGTCAAAGCGCAGTATGCTGGTTTGTGGAAAGCTTTTTAATCAGTGTTTTGACTATATATTTATATTGGGAAATTTACATACATACCAAACAATTCTTTTATATTTACATATCTAATTCATGAACTTTCATATTTATATTTATATCACTTTGGTGTGATAAACTTATGCATGACATGTGTATTTAAGTTTTTAAAAGTCGCTGTTAGTTGTTTATTAAAGATTTGAGTGCTATGCATATAAATATTAAAGGTGTTAGTTATGTAAATACTTAAGAATTGTGTGGTATGTATATAAATACCCCATTTATATTTTATTGAATGATTTACATGCATGCCAATCAATTCCTTTGTATTTACATATCTAGACCAAATCCTCATCTTTTACATGCATATCACATTTCCAAAGTGAAAATGCTGTGATATGACAGATTTGTGTGGCATAAATGGAAAGAAAAACAAAGTTTAGCTTTTAGAAATGTAAATACATATGAATTGGGTGGTGTGTTACTTAAATGCCCCAATTTATTTCTTTTTTTCTTGGTTTTGTTCTATATTATGTTCTCATATTTGTTTGAAACTTTAGGGATACCATGATGAAAGGGAGAGAGTGGACTTCTCCGGGCCGTTGTTATCTAAATCCCAGAAAGTTGATGAATTGTTAGAAAAACACGAGCGGCAAATCCGAAAGGCGGTTCGAAAATCATGGTTCCAAAAAGGTAATAGCAATCTCCAATCATAACTTTTTTCATGCTCATCTTCTGCTTCTGGCTTTTTTACAGAGTTGGTTTTTATAATTATCACATGAAATAGTTTAGTTTAAGTATTCAAAAACTACTTCAAAGGAGATTAATCTTATATATTGAAAGTTTTTTATTCTTGGGGTATTTACATAACAATTTTCATGTTCATCTTTTGCTTCTGGTTTCTTACAGAGATGATTTTTATAATTATCACATGTAATAACTTAGTTTAACTCTTCAAAAACTACTTTAAAGGAGATCTTATTATCTATATTTGAAGTTTTTTTTTTCTTGAGGTATTTACAAACCTACCACACAATTCTTTCATGTATCACATGTACAATACCTAAAATTTCATGTTTACATGCTTGACACTCAAATCGCCAATATTACATAAATAATATCACTATTAATGAATTTTGAAAGTGAGAATATACTTCTCATGCGTAGGTTTATGATGCCTAAGTTTTGTAAATGTAAATATCAAATTGCAGGTGTTAGATATGTAAAAGCATAGGAATTGCATGGTATGTATGTAAATTGCTCTTTTTCTTTTTTTATATTCAGATTTCAAAATGCTTAGATGTTTGCTCTATTTATTTACTTACTATTTTTTTAAGATTATATAAACAATAGATTTAATTATATGTATAATGTGCAGTGGCTGGAAGAAAACAAGTTAAGTAAATCAAAGTGATTGCTTAAACAGAGCTCCTGCTGATCCTTTGTTATAAACAGCCCTTCAAAATTAGTTTGGGTGAAGGCTATTATATTCACAAGAATGAAGCTAAATATGCTTCATTTTTTCTCAAGGTGAGATTAGCACCCTTAAATTTGTTGAGGTTAAAAAAAAAAAAAAAAAAAAATCTTATACATATGTTGATGCTGAGATGTTGACCAAAGAGAATGTTCCAGTTTTTATCTATAAATGAAAAGATGGGTACTGCAGATTATGTATGGATTTGGTTTGATTTTCTTGCCTTTCTTTCTTTTTTGAATGATTTATATAATACATACCACTCAATTCCTATGTATTTATGTATCTAATAGATTTTTTCTGGGTCGGTGAGTTTTTGCGCATGATGAGACCTTTCGCTGTGGGAGGAAATAACCAACCAATGAGCCACCATCTCATCCGTTGTATCTTAAAACTACACCTCAATTTTTACACGCACACATGCACAAAATATGCAAAGGTGTATTTCACTCATTAAAAGTTAAGGAAATCACTGTTCGCAAATAATCGCGTCTACTCGCTCGCCAGCACCCTACCGAACTCCACCTGTCACAAACTCCACCTGTCTCAACTCCTTCTGGGACGAACTTGCAAACTCCGCTGGTCGAACATCACCAAATTCCTCTGTTCGCAAACGCTTCTGTTCGCGGTAATTGCACACAAACTCATGCTCGCTAACTCCATCTCGCTTAATGCCGCGAAGGTTCATGAACTGTCGCGCCTCAAAGTCGCAACGCAACTCGCCGAACTGTCGTAGCCCTTTATCCGAACTGCTTCGCACCTATTCGTTCCCGCGAGCCCGTCTGTCTTGCGAACAATTTTGATCCTGCCAAAAATCTCCGCAAGATTCCTTGTTGAGCCAGAAATTTTTCACCATAGTTTGTCACAATCCGAAGTTACCAGTTCCGTCAAACTTCACCACCTCGAATTTTGCACCAGAAAAAGCCATCTAAAAATTGATCCAGCAACAAAATTTTTCTGCAAAAAATTCCTCTGCAAAAATCTTTGTTTAGACCTCTTTTTTTTGAAAAAAAAGAAAAAAGAAAAATTGAAATATTCAAGCAAAAAAAAAAAATTTTTCTTTCCGCCTCCAATTATTTCTTCTCCTTATTCAGCAAAAAGAAATCTTTAATTAAATTTACTTAATTTAATTTAAATCAACTTAATTAAAAAAAGTTCCTTCAGTTAAGTGAATTTAAAAAAAAAAAAAAATTTTATTCGTTTCTGGAAATTCAAAAAGCCTTCCTTTTACTTCCACTTCCCTTTCCAATTACTCCTCTGCAGCAGCCTTTAGCAAAATCCGCGAAATCCCTTGCGTCCAAAAATGGAAGGTCAGCAGAGCGAAAAATGGAAGCCTTCAGCGGAGCCGATGAGACCTTTTAACCGTGGCCACCGCTTTTCGTTCGGCCTGTGGCAGAAGAGCAATCTTTTCACCTGCCCGGACTCCGAACTCTTCCTCTGCGAGCCTCTGTTCAAAGCCCTCGAACAAATCCGAACAAATCTTCTCTTCATTCTTCTCACTTCCTGTGCCGCCACAGTTTTCTTCCCTGCCCTCGAACCAGTCTCTGATACCACTTGTTGAGAAAAATTAGGGCGAAGAAAACAGTAACGACACAAATCCAGAAGAACACAGAGATTTAACGAGGTTCGGCAAAGATGCCTATGTCCTCGGGAGAAGAGCGACGAGTTCCTTTCAATATTCAGAAAAGAAGTTACAGAATAGAGGATTCAACTCTCTCAACGACCTAAGATTACAAACAGGTCTATTTATAATCATAGAGTAAACCCTGCAGTACAATATGTAATTCTCAAATTACCCCTGTACCGTATAGCCCCAACCCATATAAAGAAAACAGTAACGACACAAATCCAGAAGAACACAGATTTTATTCGTTTCTGGAAATTCAAAAAGCCTTCCTTTTACTTCCACTTCCCTTTCCAATTACTCCTCCTCTGCAGCAGCCTTTAGCAAAATCCGCGAAATCCCTTGCGTCCAAAAATGGAAGGTCAGCAGAGCGAAAAATGGAAGCCTTCAGCGGAGCCGATGAGACCTTTTAACCGCGGCCACCACTTTTCCTTCGGCCTGTCATAGAAGAGCAATCTTTTCACCTGCCCGGACTCCGAACTCTCCCTCTGCGAGCCTCTGTTCGAAGCCCTCGGACAAATCCGAACAAATCATTCTCTTCGTTCTTTTCACTTCCTGTGCCGCCACAGTTTTCTTCCCTGCCCTTGAACCAGGCTCTGATACCACTTGTTGAGAAAATTAGGGCGAAGAAAAATAGTAATCGACACAAATCCAGAAGAACACAGAGATTTAACGAGGTTCGACAAATATACCTACGTTCTCGGGAGCAGAGCGGCGATTCCTTTCAATATTCATAAAATTCCTTTTACTTCCACTTCCCTTTCCAATTACTCCTCTGCAGCAGCCTTTAGCAAAATCCGCGAAATCCCTTGCGTCCAAAAATGGAAGGTCAGCAGAGCGAAAAATGGAAGCCTTCAGCGGAGCCGATGAGACCTTTTAACCGCGGCCACCACTTTTCCTTCGGCCTGTCATAGAAGAGCAATCTTTTCACCTGCCCGGACTCCGAACTCTCCCTCTGCGAGCCTCTGTTCGAAGCCCTCGGACAAATCCGAACAAATCATTCTCTTCGTTCTTTTCACTTCCTGTGCCGCCACAGTTTTCTTCCCTGCCCTTGAACCAGGCTCTGATACCACTTGTTGAGAAAATTAGGGCGAAGAAAAATAGTAATCGACACAAATCCAGAAGAACACAGAGATTTAACGAGGTTCGACAAATATACCTACGTTCTCGGGAGCAGAGCGGCGATTCCTTTCAATATTCATAAAATAGGTTACAGAATTCAGCGATCCAGCTCTCTCAAAGACCTAGGATTACAAATAGTTCTATTTATAATCCTAGAGTAAACCCTACAGTACAATATGTAATTCCCAAATTACCCCTGTACCGTATAGCGGGGCGTTGACCCAACACCCCCAACCTATATAACGTAACTTCCCAATTTGGACAAATTCTTTCGCTCCGCTCTGCTCCGCTTCGTTCCAGCGTTTGTCCCTATATGGTATATGAGTCATACCATAACAAATCTCCACCTTGGCGAATATCCAGCCCCGTAGGAGAAAAATACCTGGGAGTTACACTTGCACCACTGTGGGTTAGGCCATCATGCTTCTGTTGTGCCCTCGCTGATCTCAACCCACTGAATTCCAAGAGACATTCCAAGAGACTTCCAAGAGACTCCAAATTCTGGTATTATGAGTCATACTCAATTCCAAGAGACTCCAAATTCTGGTATTATGAGTCATACCTAACAGAGCATTATATAAGAGAAATTTCAGCCAAAGTTAGCTCAACTACTTGTTATCTGGGCAAAGTTTTCAACTCTAAAATAAATTTCAGAAAAAAAGAGATTCCCTCTTTTTTTTCTTTCTGAAATTTCCTTTCTCTCTCTCCTATTTGCCGAAATTCCTTCTCCTGTTTTAGATTTTTTTTCCCTCTGCTATCAAAGCGAATCTTTTCCCTGTTTTCAAATTTGAAAACTTTCATTGATTGTCAAAACAAAATCCTCCTTTTTATTTTCCTGCGCAGGTGAGAATTCCTTCTATAGCAGGAACCAAAGATTCTCGTAAAGGATTTTTTCCTTCCCTGTGCCAAAATCTCAAATCCGCAGAACAGTAAGGGAATAAAAACATTCTCAGATTAATTATTTTCCTATCTGGCCAGCTCCCACTTGTTGCAAAAATCGATGGCAACACCCACCGGATTTGCTGCCGTCAACGTCAAACCACTCTCCGATCACGACCCCGAAGCTCTGAGATATTGTTATTCGAAAACAATGTGAAATCGTAGAAACTCACACAACAACAATCAAACACAAAAGCTTTACGTGGTTAGACATTGAATTGATTCACCTACGTTCACGATGAGAGAGATTACACTAGCATCGGATGAGTGAAATAAAAAAACAGTTCGGAGTTATAACTCAACACTTTTCTCACTATGCCTCATCCATAAGCGCTGAGTGCTCTTTTATAAAGGAGGCTCAGAGCATATAAGACAAAGAACAAAAAAGAAACAAATCAAATATAATAACCCATTAAATGTAACCTGGTTTCTATGGTAAGTTAGAAGAAGAATTGGTCATGAAGAGGTATCAGAGCGTTTTTTTTTGCTTCTCAACTTTGCTAATCATCTTCCAAAAATTCACAATGAGAAGGAAAACATATTACGTTATAGTTCATATCACAACTTGACCTACATATAATAAATTTTGAAGTTACATTAAATGTACGATGAACATCTTTCAATTAAAAATTCAAAACATAAAGCATCTATCATATGACAACATGTGAATTCTTTTCCTTTGCACCCAAAAGTCAATTGCTTGCCATTTCCACAATACGCTGCATATAATTTAGACCATGATCCAGTCATATGATCAAAAAACATGTTCATGAATATGTTGGGAAATTTAATTTCTTAGTCACCTATTTCATTATTTAAAATAATTAAATATATATATGTTTTTCATTGTTATTATTGAGCTTTCTTTAAATGAATTATTAAAGTATCACCATGAGTGCTAAACCACCTACTCATAGTGAGTAGCCCAACATATATACCTCTATAAATATCTCCAAAAATAAACTTTTCTTGCCACACGTTCTTCAACTAATCATCCAAGATCAAAACCATCACAACAAACCACTCCATCATACTTCATTCTCACTCTCTGTCACCATAAAAATGAAGAAGAAGAAGAAGAGGAAGAAGAAGAAACAAGGACATCTTTTGCTGCAGAAGACAGCATCAACCAGTACTCATAAGTCTCCATCTCCGCCTTCCTCCTCGCTTCCTCCATCACTACAGGCATCTCAAACGGCGCGTAGACGCATGCCAACTGTTCTTCCCACATCTCTGCCAAATTAACACCCCCCTTATCCACTTCCTCCTCTTTCCCCTGCCTCACATCATGAACGCAGACCGACTCTGTATTCCAAAAACTCAAACCGAATTCATTCTCCTCACCACTTTGAGCTGTACTTGAAATACACACATCACTGATCATCGCCTCACTGTAATCCATTCTGTTGATGGGTTCTGCACCCATCTGGCTTGCTAGACCATCAGTCATCGAAGGCGTTTCAGCACCAGCTTCCCTCTGGGTTTCTATATGGCTGCGCAGTCTGTTGAGGACCTTCGCTGGGAGAATGGAAGACGCAGAACGCGGCCAAAAGTTTGTCCTAGTGTTAGCTCCACGAAGAAGGCAGGCGGCCTCATCATAAGCGCGAGCAGCTTGCTCTGCAGTATCGAAGGTGCCAAGCCAAAGGCGGATCTTTTGCGTCGTGCCTTTAATCTCTGCCACCCATCGACCGGATGGGCTTTGCCGGACTCCCATGTAACGCTTTTTCGGCTGATTCATGGTGGCTGCTGTGGCTGTTGAGGAGAAAGCTTCCATTTTTTCTTTACTGTTGTGTTTCCTCTTCGTCGTTCGCATTCTTCTGACGCCGCGCAGTTTTCTGCAAACATAGAAGGGATATTTATGAGGAAACAGAGATGATTCTAATATGGTTTACAGAGGATGAAGTTTTTTGCTTTTTTGGCTTTTCTGATTGTATTTTGGCTGTTCTTGTTTTTGATTTTGTTTGCTTGCTGTTTGATCGTCCCGTGGTCGAAGGGATCGGGCGGCAGAAGTTGTTGTCAGAAGGCGTATTGTTGTTTAAAGAAACCAAATGAGTAATTTAACAGTTTGCGAATGAGGGGTGATTAATGAAATAGACATGGGGTCAGCAAACTCTAAACTAATTGGACATGTTTAATGAAGATTGAAAAGGTAAACATAAGTCAAATGGGAAGTCCTCCAACTTTCCTGCTTCCCAGGAAAAAAGAAAATGGGCATTTGCATACATACCAACCAATTCTATGTATTTAGATATCTGATATCTAAACTTTGCACAAGAGAAAATTCACTGTTTTTGCACCCATTGTGTAATTACCGATTGAATTACTAGCCGTTAAAGGTGCCAGCCGAACCAATGGAAGTGGTGGTCCGATAACGACCTCTCTTCAAAATCAGTGCTGTGCCGCGTACAGAAATACCAATGCTTCGAGGCCATAGATCCTCTCATTCTTCCTCCTCTCAACGACTTCCCTCCATATCTCATTGTCCGAGTGATCAGGCTGATCACTATAGCTAACAACACTTGAGCTTAGACTCTGGGCATCCTTCAGGTGCGCATACTCATCCTGCAAAAGATTAATAAAGGTAATTAGCATTGAAATGAGATTATAAATAAATTTCATAAATAAAAAATAAAACTATTCAACTTATGTGGACACACTGAGTTCTATCGTCGACTCACAACTGATTCGACACTTCTTAACTCTATTTTTTATGAAGAAATCTTTTATTCCTTTTTAATGAGTGATCAACGTATAAGAACATTTGATGGCAGTTAAATCATGAATTTTTTATACCATATTTTAAAGTAAATGCCTTTGATGGATCCATATTATATAGACAATTTAACTTTCCCGGAATGCTCCATCCCAATAGCATTCCATAATTAGGAAAATTATCTATTGATTATATTAAATTTGCTTTCTTTTGAAAGTTCCCTGTTATAGCAATATCATAGGCGACACACCTATTTCCCATAATATTTAAATCTCACTTACTGAAGGCTGCAAATATAAATCAATATTTACCTTTGAGTTGTATGAACTGAGTATGATCAATTTGAGAAACATTAAGGGATGATCATACACATTTCAAATGAAAGATTGTATAGAATAACTATCACAAGCTAAGATGATTAGGGTGAGAAGATCTTACTTTGTGATGGGAAGCCATCAACACATAAGCCAACTTAACATTGTGTGACTCAGCTGCAAAGTGATGATAGATATGATCGAAACTTTTTCATGTTTTTTAATCCACGGAATGACTTGAGAAAATGAATTTTCCCAAGCTTTCATTGTGTCATCTCATATGTTCAACAATATGCATAAAAACAAATAGTTTGTGAAGACGTGGAATGAGAGTGACGCGAGAGCTTATCGTGACACGGTTTTATATCTGCTATAGTGCTGCAGTCCATTTTTCCTACTTGATTCTTTATCTTGTTTAGCCCTTTATTTTCTTGCACTTTCCTTTGTGCACCTCCTTCCTTTTCCATCACTTATTTATTTATATTCCTTACCGATTCTATCTACTACTTCTCATTGTATATAGGTGTTGTTCGCTTTGGTTAGAGTCAATTTTCGGTATTCCTGTTTTTAGATTTCTATCCAGGTTGCCATTGACAGTTTTTTTTTTCTTCTAGTTGTATTCGAAGGCGAGGAGGTGCTCCAGCTGTAACTCGTTCAAGGTGGTCATCTTCTCCACGGTTCGAGGGGTGCTCCGGTTATAACTCAATCCCACTGGGATAGTTATCCTTCCATATTCCCCTCCACCTGCTCACTATCATCTCTCCCATGTCCTAGACTTTTTATATTCGACTGTCTTCTAGCCCTCCAGGCTCCTTCCAGGCACCGTACAGGCCTTTCGTTTCCATCTCTTGTCTATGCTTCCAATCGCCTTCCACAGCGGCACTGCTTTCCGGCTCCGTTCTTGCTGTCGTCAGCCCCCAAGGCTTGTACTTGCTGTCGCTAGCCCTTTCAAGCGACATTTTGCTACCGCCAACCCCTACAATACTTGTTCTAGTTGTTTTCCTGCCCTAGAAAGCGGTCCCTACCGCTGTTCAATCCCACATCGATCCTTCTTGTGGGCTATTGAGTGTCTCACCATCTATCCTACTCTCTTCTATGTCACAATCACTTGTTGTCAGCCTCCTCCTAGCAGGCAGCCAGCCCTTCTACGCCATCCTATGCCATGCCACCTACTGTCATCCCCTCCATCACCGTTATCGCTTCCTTCCTTCCCTTTCGGGCTTGCCACCCTCCTCTAGTGAGCCATTCATGTGTTTTGTGTTGTTTTTTTCTCTTATTTTACAGCATGATCGTTGTTACTTGTTACATGTTTGTGTTGTTTTATGCTGAGAATTTGTCATTGTCACTCTTGAATTTAACAGTAAAATTTATCATTCGGTCGTGATTTGGGTTAACTCCGGTATCAGGGAGACAAGTAGAAAAGACACTTGTTCGAAATATTCTTTTATTTCATATTTTTCTTACTATTTGATTTGAGGCTTTCAATGCCACAAAACTTACATTTAGTCCTAACTGCTTTAGTCTTGTATTATAATATGCAACTATTAACACAACAAACTATCTTCTCTAATATCAACCTTAACTTTGACACCAATTTATTCATTCTATATTGATCCTCTATACTAAATTTTCTTTCAAATTATCTTCTTTAGTAATCCTATGATCTGGTTAAAAATATTCTTGAGACATATTATAGTTTGATTTAATGCTCAACATACTAAGAGTCATTGATAATTGATAATGAGTGGAGCAACCTTCTCATAGTGGCCATTGTTTGGCATTCAATAGCTCATAATTTTTCTTAGGTTCTGTATTTGGTGGCTCTTCCTTTTCCCTATACTCCACAAACTAATCTATGGTTACATTAAAGATATTTTCTTCAAATCTAGTATGATCATATTCACTTAGAGGGGTAGAGCTTGATGAAGTGTCAATCTGATCATAATTAACATGTGGTTCATACTGTCCTTGTGAAGTGTAGTATGAGTAATTATTTTAAAATCCCTTATAATGCAAGCCCAACTTGATTTCGTTTGATAATTGATTCTTGTGCTTCACGCATGGGCATCAAAGCCTACTATTTGAAAAATAAGCAGGAAGTTGTGATGTTGCTAGGATGAAATACTCAATATCATTTAAGAACTCATCAGTGAGGCATTTTATACTTGGATACAATTTATTGCATATCCATGATCTTAAATTTTAGATATCCATTGGTATTTTATAGATTTAAGGATGAACACATTTAACGCATTAGTTAAGTAAACATTTTTTATAAATGCATATATATACAAAGATTTAAATTGATATCTTAGAAGTAACATCCAATGCATTCATATCACATGAAAAATATAACCATTTTAACTTTTAAAAAGTGAAATACACATGTATAGTTGGTATGAATGGAAGAATGAAGTTCAAGTGTAAATGAGCCAAGCTTACTCATGAGTTAGCTCGTGCTTGGGTTGATAAGTGGCTCATGAACTTCCTCATTGAGTTAACAAGCCAAGCTCAAGCCAAACTCGTTTGATCTAAAGCTAATTTTGATATTTATTTTCTTAGATAAAAAGTATTTAAGATTCATTTATAGCCTTAAAAATATATTAAAAAAATATCCTTCAAACATAAAATAGAGAAAAACTCCCATCATGCAACATATCAATATGGTGGAAATTTGATTTCTTTTTTTTTAAAAAAAAAAAAAAAAAAAAAAAAAGTTGGTACCATAAAGTTTGCACATTACACATTTAAGGTTTATCTTGTCAAATATGTCCAAGACATACTTAATGTAGCATGAGTAATGCTTTATGCACTTGTAAAATTAGTAGCTTTTTTACATGTATAATTTTTTTTTATTTTACATGTTATAAGCAAAAAGAGCATTTGTGGCATAACATGACGTTTTATTATGATGTAACACAAATGTTGAAAATTACTTTATACGAGCTTTGAAAGTTCTCATTTGATTACATTGAATATTGAAATTATTCCATGTTAATTTTTTATGAGATGGAATAGTTGTTTATTTGAACTACCAATGAGAGGCCTATGACCTGGTTTGACGTAAATATCAAACTTTAAGTGTTACATATGTAAATACATAGAAATTGGTGGTATGTATGTAAAATATTCTAATTTTGTAGGGATGTTATATTCTTAAAATATATATATTGATAAGCGAACAAGAAATTTTCATCAATGTGGCACGAATCTCGAGGCATGACACGAATTTCAAGGCAACCTTTTGAACTAGAAACATTCAAACTTTAATTAAAAGTCATTCAGAGCCGATTTCAACAAACTTATAGTCAAACTGACCGACTCGATAAGACAGACCTAATGATATCAAAACTAGTCTAATCCGAGTCAAATCAAGCCCAGATAAGTGATTAAATCATTTTTGGAAGATTTTCAAACACATTTGAAAAATCAAACGAATGTCGAATTCAAAGAGTTCATACTCGGTAGAGAGGTCATAATCAAATCGAGCGTCTCGACAAGACGAATCCAACGAGGCCAAGATTGCTCGATTCTGACATCGTTAAGGCACTCAAATGTCCATCAAACGTCATCTGATTGAGAGAAGCTTTCTGGGTTGTCCGATCAAAATGATTCATATTTCTGCATTTATTGCACTCAAAACACTATATATAGAGTCTCACCCCTCACATGAAAGAGGAGGTTGGAGAGAGAACTTGAAGCTTTGAGAAGGAGCTCAACTCCAACATCATCCCTGTCATCGTCTATCGACCACTGCCGACCTATGTCGACCACCACCGACCTTCGTCGATCGTCGTCTGCCACAATTGACCACCGCCGATCCCACTGACCTCTGTCGACCACCGCCGACCGTCATCAACTGTCGTCGACCACCACGGACCTCCGTCGACCACCACCGACCGTCATCGACGTCGTCGACTACCGTTGATCACCGCCGACCACTGTCGACCATCACTGATTGAACGTCGTCAGTCGACTTCGTAACTTGGAAAACTAGTAACTATTTCCCGTTTGTGAGACAATAGTTCTCAGTAATCATCAATCTATAGTTGATTTTTGCAACTGGGTCATGCCCCGTGGTTTTTTCCCTTTACGGTTTTTCCACGTAAAAATTTCTGGTGTCATCACAAATTATTTCTCATTTTATCTAAGTGTGTGATGAATCTTTGTGCAACGCTAAGACGATAATTCATTACTCACCCGCCGTGAATTTTTCAGCACTCATTATATATATATATATATATATATATATATATATATA